ATATGAGGATGAGTGCATGACTGTTTTGAGCCAAGCTTTCCAGTGGAGCAACGAGAAGGAACCACAGACATTTGGAGTATTCCTTTCCACTCTTGACCGGGTTTCAATGTGATCGGTTTCTCGACAGCCACGGGTTCCACGGCGACAAAACGCCTGTAGTCTTCAACTCCCAAATCGGAGACTTTCTTCTCCCATGGATTCCACACCACTGCAAATTTGATTAGCTATTGTTATTATAAACGATCCATCATTTCATTACCTGAAAGCAACTAACTTGTTTATGTGTCTAGCTATATGCATTAATACAAATCTTAAAGTCTTTTACCAGCATCAGCTTGTCCCTCCTTGTATACAACTATTGTCTTCTTTTTCTTATGGTCCACGATTCTGATTGTATTTGGAGTGCTTAAGTAAAGCCTGTCAAGCTGTTTTTCAAGTGATGAAAATATGAAATAAGAGATGGAATTAGAATTGAAATTGGCAACAACAACAAAATAAAACTTACTTGGGAATTAAAAGTTATAACTTTGGCATTATCAGTGAAACGCGTTCTGTTCTTTTGCTGGTCAAGATAATCCAAATTATGCAATCCTTCGACATGGATTTCACTGTACACAAACAAGTGATATAACTTCATATACTAACACCAACTTAACCATTAATACAGAAAGAAACTAAGATGTTTGAAACTTGTGCCTTAGTGAAAATACACAAAACATTGGAGATGACTAGCCCTCGAGTCTAGAGATCGCACCGAGTTGGCTGGCGATGAGATAATACCTGATATCGGAAACAGCGAAATAGGGGTGAAATCCAAATGTGAAGTTAAAGGGCTTCGTATCAGAATTCTTAATACGACATGTCAATGTCAAATCTCCTTTATGTCCCAATGCTACTCTCAGCCGATACTCAAACCTGAAATATAGGAACAAAAAGGCTTCACATTTCTATCTTAAGAAAATGATGTAAGAACAGAAAAGAGAGAGGCTTCAAGAATCTAACTGACTTGTGAGGCCATATCTTCAAATCATCATTGGATGATTTCAAGATCAAGTCAACTTTATAATAAGTTTTTGATGGCAAAGGAGGTGGATTAGCCTCGATTTCCCAGAACCTATTTCTAACAAATCCATGCGCGGGAAGCGGACCTGTGTTACTGTACTGCAATTACAGAGAAAAACAAAAGNATTCCATTAC